ACTACTACTACTACTACTACTACTACTACTACTACTACTACGACTACTACTACTACTACTACTACTACTACTACTACTACTACTAGTACTACTACTACTACTACTACTACTACTACTACTACTACTACTACTACTACTACTACTACTACTACTACTACTACTACTACTACTACTACTACTACTACTACTACTACTACTACTACTACTACTACTACTACTACTACTACTACTACTACTACTACTACCACTACCTTTTTAGGGAGGGAGCGCGACTCTCGCAAGCCTCTTTCAGGAGGATTGCACCCTTGTTCCGCGCGTGCTCGCGCGCGCCGAAGGCATTTCGGAAGTGCCTTCGGGGCGCCGCAGGGGGCCGACAAAGTCACCGGCGTGTGCAAGCCCAAGCGTTTTCATTTGCGGAGCTGGGCGTCTTGGCGCGAACGGCCGCACGACCCCTGCAGCGGGACACCGTGGCAACGCGGTAGGCCACCGCCAAAAACAATGGATACAGCGGTGGCCGCGCAAAGGCTCCCGAAACTCCAGCCAGGTCTGGACCTAAACTATATTTTGCCGATTTCGTGGGCCGTTTTCGTTTCGACTTCGTTTTGCGGGAGAGGTGGATTGAAGACAAAACGAGGGAAAACGAAAATAAAACGAAAACGAAAAACACCGTTCAGGTTCAGCATTGACTCCAGCCGTGCGTCAGAGACGCCCACGCCAGCTTTTCCGCGTGCGTGGCGGGCCTGGGCAGACTTCTCTGGGGCTGCGCGGGGGCAGCTGCCTCTGCTGGGGGGGGGGCGGGGGGGCGAGCGGGGGGCGCCGGGCCCCCAGGGGCGCTCCGGGAAGACGCCAGGGAGCATCCCCTGAGAATCCGGACCCGCACCCCTGGCAGTGTGGCAGGGCTGGGCCTAAGCGGTGGTTTTGGTGATTTCGTGGGCCGCTTTCGTTTCGACTTCGTTTTGCGGTAGAGGGGGGGTCGAGGAAAAAGCGATGGAAAACGGAAACAAAACGAAGACGGACAACACCGTTTAGGTGCAGCCTTGCACTGTGGCGGGACAGGCCGAAGGCTATTCGTCAGGCGATCGCAAACATGGATCAAGGGGGCGTGGATTAGCGACGGGTCCCGTTTCCATGGGGAATCGCGAATTTCCGCCGCCGAGCGAGGCGGCACTGGCTGCATTTTGGGGAGAGCGCCTCCCCCGACCCATGGATTGTGCGACCGCGCGCCCAATCCATGGATCGCTAATCCATGTTTGCGCGCCCTCGACATTCTCATGGCGCCAACATCGCAGAGCGAATTTCGGTCGGAAGACGATGGGGTTCGTTCCGGATTGCGAGGTGAGTTTCGTGCGGACGTTTGTTTGGCCGGGAAGGAGGACCACAACGAACCCACGCGAAATTAATTTCGTTTTTCGCTCGCCGCTCTGGGCAAACACCCACGCAGAAATCTGCTGCAGCACGTCTGCAAGGCCAGTGCAATGACCATTCGATTACACATGGTGGTTCTGCCCCATCGTAAGTCAAACCATGAGTTCATACCATGCCATCCCAGGCAGACCTGTTTCGCCCCCCCCCCCCCCCACCACCCGCATCCCTGACAACAAACAGCTATGTGCACACCCGTTTATCAAACATCAGCCGTGTTCTAGAATCCCCTGCAACTGATGAGACAAAGTCCACGCGCGCAGTGTCGCGCGCGCATGCCGAAGTCTTTCAAGCACCGTGGGCTTCGTATGTGTTGCAAGACCGAGGTTGCCGAAAACAGATAAAGAACCACTGATTAGCAAACATGTTGTTTCAAGAACGTGTGCGCGAGCGCTCCTGCAAACTCTTCTATCAAATTGAAATGCGACCAAGCGGGCCGCTCGCGCTCGCAGGCCGAAGAGCCGCGGAACCTTTATCATAGAGGTTTAAGTCACGATCTTGCCAATGCATCTCTGACGTGCACGGTGCTCTCTCTCTCTCTCTCTTTGGCGTCTACGGGGGCGTCCTTGGGAGATTAGGTGGCTTATCGGAGTCGTTTCGTTATGGTCTTGAAGCTCATTCGATGCATATTCGAAGCTATCTCGAACCACTTTGGGCTGTCGAGTGCTATCGTGGAAGCGATCTTGGTCTATCTGGGCCCATCTTGGAGTCATCTGGGGGGGCAAGAAGAATCCCCTAACACCTCGCGAACTGGACAGATCGAGGGAGTTGGGTACGGGGATGGGCAAGCCCCTCCCCGAAGGTGAAGAAGGGGGTTGGAAGAACGCACTCCCCACACCAGTTACACCCAGATGGCTGGGGACCCCTCTGCACAGGCGTTGTTTGGGGAACGTGTCAAATCAGATCGGGTCCGTGAAAGCTCTGCTTAGATAACACATGGCTTGCGTGAGTTAAATGTTCCGTCAAGGTCTCCCTTCCATGACAATGCTCGACAGGCCAATTAGCATGCCCGGGCACCCGAACTGAACATATACCACCATAAATTTGGCGTTGCGGGGCCCTGTGCGTTCGCTCCGATGTCAGGAGCGAAAGAAAGACGTACATGTACATGAATCCACGCTGGTTTCGAGAGTTCGCATTGCGCGAATGTTCGTATCGCGCGGCAGGTCTCGCGGGTCAAGGGGCCGTGTTCATGTACATAGCTGGGCGCGTACGTCTTTTGGGCGCTCCCCACGATGGCAGGCGTCGAAATGCAATTCACACAGTTTTCCGCGCACGGGCTGGTCGAAGTTTTCACGGACTGTGCTGCGGATTATTTTCCATAACGCGAAAGCCGTGCACAACATTTATCACAGGATATGAGATCTCAGCCAATTGGCTAGGTAGCAAGGTCGTGCAGGTGCGTTCGTGCCTCGGGTCGCACGCCAAGAACGAGATCGACAAGTTTCTGGAATTGCGGGTGCCGGATTGAGACTTTGGCGCGCTTGCCGACGAGGTTCTGGGAAAAAACGTTTTCGCAGTGGGCCGACACGAGTTAAGTCGTCGCGGAGGTTCGGTCGAAGGATGGCTTCGTGTTGACCATGTCCATGGGGACCTGGCACAGCAACAGTGACGCCAGGAGTGGATGTGCCGAGCGTGGGAGATCTAGATGACCAGCGAGTGAGTGGCCAGCGAGCCAACCGAAGCCTTCACACGGCAAGACCTGCCCAGGCAGGAGCACCCGAATTTGGCCGTGCGGTGTCCGAGCTCGCTGGGTCTCACGGATGTCGGCAGCCTGCTTGGATTCGGTTCTCACCATGAGTCTTTGGAGGAGGTCACGCCCGAGTGTCAGCGCTAACCGGTCCTTATCCCCATCCCCATTCACATCTCGAGCCCCACCGTCTCACCACCCCAGTTGGGGATATACCCCTCGAGACCCGAATGGAGCAGCCTGTATCCCGATCTAGGGGGGCAAATCGGCCAGCGGGGCCCAGCCCACGCTGGTGGGGATGGGGATCGGTTAAACGATGCTCAGGGGCGGTCTCGACCAGCAGACTGGCCCTCGCCAGTACAAGCCAGGCTGGAAGCTCCGCTGTGACAAGATTAAAGAGCATCGCATGCAGCCGTGCCACTCCGACGGCCTGAAAGACAACGGGGCTGCCGCCAGCCTCGCCACCAGGGATATGATGTGCTTGTGCCCTTGTGACACCTGTGGAGGCCTACCATATGCGTTGAGGGTCTACTCGCTGGTAATAACAGCGGTGGTGTCCCCGTCGAGTTCCAGATGGACATGATTGCCGAGGCGACGTGGGGCTGAGGGGCGGGAAGACCTGGCGACCAGCTGGCGGTTGGAATTGTAGAGCTTGTGTGTGTATGTTTTAGAGTATATTCGAGCCAAGAGGCCGGCCTCATCGGCCTTCCCCTCTTGGCGCACGGTCGCGGCGGCCGTTGTCTTTCGCGCGGGCTTTCGCCCTTTCCCCAATTTCCCTTTCCCCGCTCTCGTGCACGCCGTGCTTCGCAAGACGAGCAACAACTCGGCGCGCTCTCTCTGGGTCTGCCCTCCACGTGTCCTCCACTCCTCCCTGCGACGAGTCGCCGCCGCACCCCTAACCAGGGACTGGGTTTCCGTGGGCAGTGCTCCCAGATTGGCACCGTCTGTCATTTGGAGAGTTTGCGCATCGATGCGCCACGATCGCGCCATGAAATGGTCCAGCAAAAGCCTGGGGCATCGGCCAGATTATATTGTCGCGATCGCGAGGACTTCAGAAGGTCCATGTGCCAGCCGTGCTCTTTGTTGCACGCGCGCAAGAGCAAGAGGAGGAGAGGAGGGATGAGGCGAGAAGCAGGAGGAGGAGGAGGAGGAGCAGGAGGAGTAGAGAGGAGAGAGGAGAGAGGAGAGAGTAGGAGGAGGAGGAGGAGGAGGAGGAGGAGGAGGAGGAGGAGGAGGAAGAGGGGGAGGAGGAGCCCAGGTGCGCGATTTCCGCCGCGGGCGACTCCCGTGGCCAAAAGGCACCCGCTTGTGCCGCCCCTGGCGCGTCCTCCACAGTCCAGCTGCGTGGTGACATGATCAGACAGGCGAGATGCGGGGTGCCTCAAGTTAAATTTTGCCCAGAACAGTCAGTGAGTGTGCGTTTTATTTTGTTTCTGCCTATCGCGCACGGCCCGATGCGACTGACCCTCAGGGCAGGCATCCGTGTGCTTACCCCACATCTGTGGCGCGGCCTGCTACCGTCCAGGCGCTGCCTGCACCTGGGGTGGCAGGTCGCGTCGTCCTTGTGTGGGTGGTCGAAGGCTTTGTCTTGGATTTGTGGAGGAGGAGGCCTCGAGCCTCTTCGTGAATTTGCAGCTTTGGCCGTGCCCCCCCCGCCCGCACCCTTCCCGTCGCCCTTCTCTGCTGCGCCCCTGGGGTATCGCTGGGCGGGGGTGGGGCGCCCTTCGGGGATACGGCCAGCGGATTACCCCTCGAGCCCTCAAGAGCCCTCTGCAATGCCCCAGGGCTCTGGGCATCGTGGGTGCGGGGCCTTGGTGGCCCAGGAGAGGCCGAGGCCCCGCTCGTCTGTTTTGCGGTGAGGTCAGGCGAGCTTCGTTTGGCTGACCTCCTAAGGCCCATGAATGAATGAATGAAGGGGGAGGAGGATCCCCCACCCCCCTCCCGCCTCCCTCCTCCCTCCGTTTGCTATTTTCATACCAGGTTGTTTGGGTCTCTTGACAGATGTGAGGCGACATGGCTTTGAACAGCTGTCTAAGAACAGGCGGCACCCGCGGCCGCTTGGCTGACTTCTTCTGGCCAGAGGCTGTGAAAGCATGGCGCGACTGACCGGTCGTGTGTCTCTTTCTGCTTGTGCACTGTCTGGTGCTAGCCCTCCCCCTCTTTCTTCCTCCTCCTCCTCCTTCTCCTCCTCCTCCTCCTCCTCCTCCTCCTCCTCCTCCTCATGTGCGTCACATGAGTGTGACCAGCGGCCTGTCTGTTTCATGTTTCACTCTGCTCACGCACCCGCGGGTGGCTCTGGCGGCACGTGCTCCGCCAGCCTGGGCGTGCAAGCGCGTGCACTTCGCTTCGGGGGCGGCAGAGAGGGGAGAGGACCGCAGTCGGCCCAGATTAGCGGGTCGACCCTGCCAGGTCAAGGGTCCCCTCGTGTCCTGTGTCTCGCGACCCATGCTTCCCACATTCCTGCCCTGCGGCAACGTGGCCCTCGGAAGGGTCTCGTGTCCTCTCGCGTGTCCTGTCCAGTCGAGTCCGACTGTAGGGGGGGGGGTATCATGGCGGGGGCCATGAGATCTCCCCAGATTTCACGACGCCTCTTCTTGTTTCAATGCGTCCCTGGCCCCCCCTTGAGCCGCGCACGTGCCGCGCGGCCATGATTTTCGCCCCCTCCCCCCCCCCCCCTCCCCTGGACGCCCCCCTCTTGGCCGCTCCCGATCGTTTGCAGCCAAAGCGCTGGTCAATCTCGACGGCGAGCGAGGGGGGGGAAAGAAATCAGGAGGAGAAGAAACACACAGACACAATTAATCGTCGATTCCCCAGAAAATATTGGAAAATATGGAAAGTGGGGGGAAGACAAAAACCAAGAAATTGTTTGAAAATATGGGGAATGCTGTTATATGTGTGTATTTATTTGTGTGTCACAGGGCCCCTTCAAAGGAGGAGGCCTGCTCAGAGGGCGGCGGGACTTCTCGGGAACCCTCGCGTCTTCCGAGAAGTTGTGAGTTTCTGTCTTCGGGGAAGGCTTGGACAGCTCAGAGGGCCGGGGGACTTCCGAGCCTGCTGAGGAGGCCTTCCCCTTTTCCATTTCACCCCTCGCTTGCCCAAAGGCGCCCTCGAGGGCGCGAAGTTATTCGCGCTTGCCGCCGACAATCTCATCACCTATTCGCTCCCTGGCCTTGCCTTTAATGTATGGCAGCTCCAGAGTTTGATGGTGTCCTGGCGCTGCGGGACAATTTCCGCGGGCTGGCAACGATGCGTTGTCAAGCTGGTCTTGATGCTGTCTGTGTGCGTGTGTTTGTGTGCGTGTGTGTGAGAGAGTGTGTGCGTGTGCGTGTGCGTGTGTGTGTGCGTGCGTGTGTGTGTGTGTGTGTGTGTTCGTGTGTGTGTGCGTGTGTGTGTCTGTGTGTGTGTGTCTATGTGTATGGGTGCGGATTTGTGTTTCTCAGGTTCTTGGGATAGCGTTGGGATGGGGGGTCACGATAGGGGGGATCGTGGGATAGGGGGACAGAGATAGAGGGATAACTATCGAGGATACATGGACAGGGATAGATAGAGGGGAAAGGTGGTTAGGATAGGGATAAAGGGGGATAGGGATGTCGATCTAGGATGGAGGGGCAGGGATCGAAGGAGGGGTGCAGGAACGGAGACGGCAGGGTGAGGCCACGGGATGGCAGCGACAGGCCACGGGAGGTAAATGGTAGGCCACGGGAGGCAGCCGGTGGCCGCGGGGTAGGGGCAGGTATGGGGCTAGGGAGAGAGAGCGCCATGCACGTCAAAGGTGCGTTGGCAGCAATGTGCAAACTGCAATCACCTTGCTCTGTGCGTGCAAAAATTGCGTGCCGCGTGACGCCAAATGCTGGCGTTCCCTTACCATAGTTGACACAATCTGTCAGCGTCGCCGGCTGCCTTGCAAGCCATTTCCACGTGTTCTTCGGCCGGCCGCGTCCCGGGCGACCTCCCGAGCGGGAAAGCGAGAAAGACCTGGGGGCGAGCATGCAGCGTCGGACGGCGCTGTCGCCTGGAAGTTGGGCCGCCTTACCCAGCACAGGCTGCCGGTATGCTAACTGGCTGCTTTATTTCTGACGGCTGCACTGGGCCAAGACGGCATCATTCGAAACACGGCTAACGAGCGAATGCGCTATGCCAGCCACTCTGCGGAGGCAGCGCGCTTGGAAAGCATCCGGTTTTCGGAGTTCTGCTTGGTTCAGCCACAGAGTGTGCAAGCAAGACATCAGGCCAGATACTACGCAAGATTGGCAAATCTAGACCTTCTTGGAAAGTGAAAGCTTCGCATGCTTCCAAATGTTACACAAACTATGGAATTGCCTGTATGCAATGCCGATCCTTCTGCTCAGCTCAGGGCCGCTGCCGCCGTCGGCGTTCAGTAGCCCGCCCAGGTAGATCATACTGTCCCTCTGCGGAATCGTTGACCCGTCTGGTCGGGCAATATGCGTCTCGCATTCCACGGACAGGACCTCGAGCTTGCCCCAATTGAACCCCAATCCATAGTTCCTCCCGGCCTCGCGCACGCACTCCATCAGCTGGTAGACGAACTCTTCTTCTGCTCCGACTATAAGGGTGTCGTCGGCGTACATGAGCTCGCTAACCGGAATTGAGTTGGATTGCAACTTCCCATGACCAGCAAAGTTCAGCCTTGCGTCGTGCATGAGGACCGTTATCACGATCGAGAACGAAAAAGGTAATAATGGGCATCCCTGCGATATGCCGAACTCCAGCGGCCAAGATTCGGAAGTTGAGCCAGCACCCAGGACGCGGAAGCTCCTATTGTTGTAGATTCCCTTCACAGCGGCGGCAAAGTGATCAGGGATGCCGAAGCGGATCAACGTCTGCAGGAGGCTATCTGGCGACACGCTGTCGAATGTCTTAGCCCAGTCGAGTGCGAGAAGAAGCAACCTCCCACACGCTGTGTCCACGGTGTCTTCGATCAGCCGCCGTGCGACGAACAGTGCGTCGGCCGTTCCGCTACCAGTCCAGAATCCAAACTGCGTTCCCCAAATCCGGTCCTCGGCGCCCGCGCTCTTCAAGCGTGCAAGCAATATCGCGGCGTAGAGCTTGTACCCGATGGGTAGAAGTGATATCGGGCTGTAGTTCTCGCACTGGGCGACGTCGCCTTTCTCGAAGATGGCCGTGACAATCGCTTTGTGCCAGGCGTCGGGCACAGACGCTTCCGTCCAACACCGACTGCAAAGCAGAACGGCCCACTCGCATGCTGGCGTGCCTGAGCTTCAGATTGCTTTCAAAAACTAAGCTGGGACGCCGTCATTGCCAGCCGCGCGATTCCGTTTCAGCGTACGTGTTGCTGCGCACACTTCCGCCTTGGTAATCGGGCCTGCCTTCATTGGTAGTTGGGGCCCCAACGGTTCCGGATCGACCACGGCAGTGACCGGCCGCACGGCCCACTGCATTGTAGCGAAGTACTCGGCCAGAGTCTGGGCCCGCTCGTCGCTATCAACTTCTTGGCCGCGTAGGTCCCGCAATCGCCCCTGGGTGGCGCCGCGGCGCTTCCGGAGCTTGCGCACCTGGTCCCAGTCGCCGTTCTCCAACAGTCCGTAGAACCAGTGCTCCTTATCCTTCTTGATGGATGATATGATCTTTCCGTGAAAACGTCGTTTCTCCATCGCTGAATCCCTTTGTCGTCTCGCCTCGTTCCGCCTGGTGATGAGCTCCATCGTGGCGCTGATCACCCACGGTTGCTTTCTTCGTTCCGCCTCTCGTGGGAGGCATTCTGCGGCAGCAGCGAAAGCATTGAACACGGTATCATGTAAGTTGTCCAGGGGGTGGTGTTGGCACAATTCGGGCATATGGTTGATGAAAGTATCAGCAAACAAATGTTGGGCTACAGCGTTGGCCAATGCTGACAGCTCTGGTTTCGAGTCCTTCTCGTGCTTTGATTTCGAAATATCTATGCGCACACGGCATTGCAACAGTAAGTGATGAGAAGCAAGTGCACCAGATTCATGCAGTCCACGTCGCATAAAAGAACATCGATTTGACCAACATGTTGCGGCACAGCCCAATCTCCTGGATGGGATCCCACATTGTAGCATGTGATTTGATTATCCGCGGAATGGTCGAAGAACGTGTTGGCGACAGCCAGTCCCTCTCGCTCGCATAACTCCATGAGCAGGCTTCGGTTCGACAGAGGGTTGTGTTGAGCCTGCGGGTCTCCGAAGACGTGGTCTCCCAGAGTCAACTCCTCTCTCCCGAATCGCCTGTGCAGCCTAGCGTTAAAGTCTCCCAACACCAAGGCATGCCCATGTCGCAATAATACTGCCCAGCTGATTGTAAACGTCTTGCCTATCATCGCCCGGCTTCCCATTATGAGGGGCGTATATGCTGAAGATCGGCGCCTTTCCGCCCCGAACACGAAGCTTGAATACGAACTCCTCTCGCCCATCCTCTTGAATCCAGTAACGCTCTTGCGAGCCCGCGGCGATACGAGAAAACCAACTCCAGCAGTCTCATCGGAGCCAGGGCTTCCAGATAGAACAACCAAAAACCCACGTTTGGTCCTATAGTAAACGGACTCGTGCTTGTGAGTCTCTTGGATGGCGAGCACGTCGATGCCCAGTTTCTCCATGTACATCTACAGTTCCTCCTCCTCCGCCTCCGTCATGCCCTCGACGTTCCACGAACCGATAACGATATCCACTGCACAGGTTTGCAAGCGCCCTCCTCGGAAATCAGCCCCTCCTCGTCCAGTGCTAGCGTTGCCTTGCCGTGCTCTGGTCGCGCCTTGAATGCACTCATGAGTTCTTAATCGATATATAGGAGCAGTATGGCCGACTGCGGGTGAAACAATTGTGTCTGGATTCTGGATGGCGCCCTGTGGCCCCCTTCGACAAGCCCCCGACGCCGCCCTTCGATCCCTTCATGCCGGCCGCTGCCTTTGCGACCAATTGGTTCGACCTGTCCAGGAGATCCACGACCTCGGGGTATTTGTGAAGCTCCTCCCCCACCCAGCCCACGTCCCGTGCCACTGGTGGGTCACACGATCAGGGAACACATGTGTAGTCAGTGCGAGCTCGCCGCCCACTGTCACCGTGTAAGAAGCAGAATCGTGGACGGACACTGTGAAGGGAATGTTCCATGCCTTTTTGAATCTGCGTTTTAATCCAAAACAGAAGTTCCTTGCCGCACTCTCGGTGATAGGGCGGTCTTGGTTGGCCCACACGTTTTTCCCACCCGATTGCAATCCCGTCCTCCTCAAGACGTCCACGGCGGCGTTCTTCTCCACAGAGTTCTGGA